CCTGGCTGACAGAAGACTACACCGTACATGTACATGTACATTCATTATCTGTTGTCGGAATCCCCACCTCACAGTCACAGCTGATGGCAGGTTGTGAAAAAAAGGAATTGTTTTCTTGCATGTGGTGTGCCTGGGAGACTTCAAATGCATTCTGAGCTACGTGTACTTTTACAAGTAGACATCCAGAGAATACCGAGACACAGAAACATGCCCTCCAGAGAGGGCATGGTGTTTGTCACTATCTGGAAAAAACATGTTTTGCCTGCAAATTTTAAACGCACAAGTTACGGTCTTCATTTTATGGGCTTTCTGTATTTGACTGCAGGTGTGAAATCGATATTGTTATTGAAGGAGCTGTCTCCACTCGTACTAGTATGTGCTTTAAGCAAGAGTTTTTTCTTGCGTGTCAGGCTATGCTTGGGATATTGTGACACAAACCGTACCTGTGCATGTACATAAATGTACTTCACATGTGCAAGGTGATTGAGGTCCACCCTTGCTTCTGGCACACTGAAATATAACCATCACTTTCAGGTTTAAGACTTCTCCTTAAAAGACAGGTTCTTTTTTCATCTGTGTTTTTTTTGGGGGGGAGTGAAGGACATTTTCTGAAAATTTTGACCTGCTTTTAGGGGTAATATGATTTCATTGGCCCACGCCAGGAGCAATTCTGCAAAATCTTGCCTGAGGTACATGTACATATACCAGTAGTGCCTAGTGTTTTGGATAGTTGTTAAGTGAGTACACACGTACAGTGCTCTGTACCAAAAAGCTGAACAATTGACCCAAAAACTGATTTTTATTTGAAGTACATGTACATACCGGTACATGTACATGTATATTGGTATTTAAACATTTGACCGGTCACATACATGTACATGTACAGGCTTGCGTTCTTCTTTAACTTCTTTTTGTTAGGCCCAAAAGAAAAATTCTCTGGTTTCTGGTCAGCGCACGCGTCGCTGTAGACCTGCGTGTTGGCAAAATAAAACAAAATTGATTTAGTGTAAAACGATGTCCAAAAGCTGCCACACTTGCTTCATCGACTGGAATTCTGCTACTGTGTAATTTAACATGTTTTTGATAGGGTACGGTTAATTAATATGAAAGGAGGCCCTCTAGTTTCCCCTACGGGTACTGGTACATGTACATACATATTCAGTAAGGTATGAGACGGAGAGAACCCCCCCTGCTTTGTGTTGGTCATTGTCTTGCAGGAATCTGAGGAATTCCTTTCTGACATCTTGGGGGGATGTGTTAAGTAACAATAGTCTGGAATGTGTATAGGGATTGGACATGTTGGGGGGGTACCCCTCGGTCTCATTTCTTGCTGGGTATAGGTACATGGACATTTAGTCGGTCCCTCTTTTTCAGATGACATCATTTCTGTATTATACATGTACATTTACACCTGGGAACAAGACAAATGAGGTGGTCTGATATCCTGTGTACATGTACTGGTACACGCTGAAAATGCTTTTATACAGGGGGGGTGGGAGTTCGGGCTGCCGGGCTATTTTTTTTAGTGTTGGTAGCTGCCAGCATTACCTGCACATGCAGTTGCGTTGGACATCTGGTGTTATTTACACTCATTTCCAGGGGAAAAAAGTGAGGGTAAAAAAAAACCAAAAAAACAGCTATGTCACCAGAGACTTTTTTTTGGCCTTGTCAAGTGGTATTCTTGCTTTTGTTCTGTATACCTGTATGCAGTTTCCATTTTACCTAAAAGAAATTAAATTTGGTACACGATCACTTACATGTACTTTTTGTCATAACTGATCAATAACAAACTTAACTTTGCCCTGTGCAGACAGGATACAGTTAAATTACACAAGCATAAATACCAATACACCATGGACCAGTCCATTGGAAGCAAATTGTAGTACACGGCCTGGATGTACATTGTACATTGTTAAGGTGCACAGATGTGAACTGAGGTGAAATTCTAGAAACACTGCTATAATTTGATGCATTGTCATGTCCAAATTGTCTAGACATGTGTTGCTCATGTATATTGGCAATGTTTCAATTTTTACTCCAGGACTTGCTAAAAGCAATTTTGATGTGTACATGTACATGTACATGTAGACCCTAATGCTACAGTGATGAGTGGTTTTTGGACCCTTAAGTTGTCTGCATTTATGCTGCCTTCATTTTTTTTTCACAGAGGCTGATATGTGGTACTAGAACACATAATGAAATTAATGGGGAGTCAGGTGGGCCTTGTGGTTCTTTCCTGCCTTCCACCTCTGCAGTCCGGGTCAATTCCTGGCTCAGTCCACATGGGAATTGGGTTTTCAGTCCCCACATGTACATGTACATGTACCTGATTTCGTGGATTTACCCAGAATATTCCTCTGGGTTTTCCGCCCACCACTAAAACTGTAACTGCATCTCATTGTGTCCTCTTTACAGGTTCCTTCAGGCCTGCGAGCTGCAGTGCCTAGGGCGCTTTGGAGGAATCCTTGGTGTCATTACCAGAAATAAATAATAATAAAAGTAATCAGAATAATAACAATAATGAAGAATTTGATAGTTTTGTTTTTAAAAGAAATTACATGTACCTTTGGAACACAGAAAACAAAAACATGCACTGCTGTTCATTTGTGTTTACAGAATGCAATGTACCGGTACGTGTACGAGTAATAAATTAATGACAGAAGACTCGTCAACTTCACGTTCGCAACACTGTGCGATACAGGGCTTTTTTGGTGCAAATCAATTAGTAAGAACAATGATGACCATGTGGTGTTGAGTTTGTTTTTCCCAACAAACTTTAGTTCATTGACCTCGGACTTTGAATCAGTTGACATGTGATGATTGCTCACAGACATGTAATATGAATGCATTTAATCAGAGTTTGTGCTTCCCCTTGTTTTTTCCATTCAGTCTTGCACACCCAAAACTGGTATTGCACACCCAAAACAGGTATTGCACCACCACTACTCAGCAGAGATTGGGAAAAGGGGACACTTGGAGATTGGCCAAAACCACAAGCCGAAGCTCAGCAAATCTGGCTGAAGCATTTTATTCTTTTCTCGGAAAGCTGGGGCCGTGGTTTTTTTTTATCGTTGCATTTGGGGGTCCAATTGTATTAGTCAGAAGTTTATCCTGTGTGTGCCTGACAATGAGGTAATTCCTAATTTTAGGAAAGAGGTTGCCAACAGAAGTGAAGGGGAATACCAATGATGCATCAGACTTTCAAAAGAAAACCCAGGAGCCATAAACACATCAGAGTCGATCTGAATACAAGTATGAATATAAATGTGTAATTTGAATACACTGTACTTGTAAACATGCCCACATGTACATGTACATGTGTACTGTGGTCTTGGACACGTGTCAGTACATGTACAGTGTGTGAATATGATTCAACAAACAGGTACATATACTTTGTACCGGTAATATTCATGCTTGTCTCATTTTTCTTTTTCTCAGAAAAACAGTGGCCACCGATTGTGTGCTTATCATTAAAAGTATTAAGAAGCTACCTGTACGAGGGTAAATAATTGAAATTCAAAACAACCATATATAGATGTGAGTCTTTGGCATTGAATGGGGGAAATACAAGAGGTAGGATTTACATGCACTTTTATCCTACCAAAAGGATAAAGGGTTTTGGAAAGTGTACTGTTTGAACGGCTGAATATTAATTTATGGTAACACAGGCATGCTCAGAGTGACTTCAAGGGAAAGTTGACTGAACTCACGATATTTGATCTCTCTCATTTCTTGTCTCCTTTTAGTCTGCTCAGTGTCATTGATATCAATTTGTGCTCAATTTAGAACTACTTTTGGAAACTGATTATTACCATGTTTTGCTAAACTTGGAAGCTCTAATTGCAATAATGGACACTGGCCAGCTAGAAGACTCTGGACAAACAGGATCCAAACGAAGTGAATTTTCGATACAAAAGGGAGTTCAGTTTCAGGAAAAACATGATATGTGTCACAGGACACCCTTGCTTTGAAGGAAAATAAGAATAGGAGAATTGAGCACAGGCCCAGTCCATTCGCGGTAAAAGGAAAAAAAAATCCCCAAATGGAAGGATGATTGGCTCTTAATGGTGCACTGTCTGAAAGAGATTGAATGGCTGTGTGCTTTCAACACAGGAAGTTCCTGAGGGGGAAGGAGAGAGGGAGACCATTTCTTTGCGGGAGGGGGTGTTGAAGATTTGAATGGCAGCCAGGAATTATTTTCATTTCATCTACTGGATTACTGGTCAAAGTTTTTGTCTCTGTAAACAGCTGAAAAACTAGAACAGTCATCAGTTAGGACTTGTCAACAAATTTCTGGGCATGAGGGACCTGTACATGGACATGTATTTACCAGCTGGGAGTTTTGAAATTACGGTAAATTGAGGTAAGGGGGAAAAGTATTGCCTCTGGGAAGGATTTTAAAGCAGGGCAGAAGTCCAAAACAGACAAAAACAAAGTCAAAAGAAAGCTTTTGAAGAAGGAGACCAAGAGAGGAAATATACGTGTACATGTATGGGACAAGTGTACAATTTGAAAAATTCTACATTGGCAAACTGAACCTACTAGTATTCATAGAGTGCTCGTGTACACGGACAGGTACTGTTTATCGTACGGCAAACCATCCATTATGAAAAATCGGCTGTGTGTTGCAGGGAAAAAAAGTCGTTGTCACTTGGCAAATGTTACTGTTGAAATAAGCATCTGGATACAAATGGTTTTTTTTTCAAAACCAGTGAAGGTCTGATTGCTGGTATTTTTTTTGTAGATGATGATTCCTTCAAGGTTTGTTGTCATTTTGTTGATGGGGTGCATTTTTGCACAGGGGTATAGACTACATACGTTAGATCTTGTTGCAGAAGTCACTTTGGTACATGCTCTTCAAATGTGTCTCCAAAAGTCCCCATTTATCAGTCAGAAAGTTGAACTTTTTCCCTTGCAACATGTTTACCATTACATTTAATTTCCAAGATGTGCATTTGCATGCACAGTGATAAAGGTTTTTTGGTTTTTGTTTTTGGCAGGTGAAGAAATAGAAAGCAAGAATCCCGAATTCTTTGCAGGATGCTGCGAGCAGCTTCAAATCAGCGAAACAACAGCATATGCAAAGTTCAAGGATCTCGCAGATGAACTCTTTAAGGACCAAGAAAATGGGCAGAGGGGGACATGTGAGTCAACAATTGAGGAGAAAAAAAACGATGTAATGCCTCGTTTTGCTGGATGATTTTTTTGCAGTGTCTATTCTTTTACAAGCTAATACATCAGTCACTGTGGACTGTAATGCAGAAGTAAGGTAATCCTTTGATGTGTTATAATTTTCAGTGCCTTCTGTAATCCTTACACATGTACATAAATCCTGCAATCTCCAACGAAATCCACTAGCAGGTTTTGGAGAATTTCTGTAAGAGTGGGGATGGTGAAGCCCTGCCCTTATAGTATTGGGCTAGTACTTGACATTCAGCTTGAAGTCTCTGGAAAGTTACAATGTACACAGATTGTTCCCTCAATTGTTTCTTTGTACGGTGGTAGATGTTGGAGGTTTCCCAGAGGGTTTTTAGGGGACGCTTTGGTAAGAATGCTTCGGAAGTTAGCATTAACTTGCAAGTGAATACTTGTAATGAACTCTGCGTTTTACATGTATCTTGTTTTGTTTGTTTGTTTGTCTTTGGTCATCTCATCTGCAGGTATGTCCTGGGGCAGAATAGCAGCCTTTATCACATTCAGTGGCCGACTGGCCTTGCACTGTGCATCCAATAACATGGAGACGTTAGTCCCTAGTGTCATCGGTTGGACGTCCAGATATATTGACACCAAGTTGGTTGCGTGGATAAACGACCACCAAGGCTGGGTAAGGATGGCCGAGGGAATGACTCTATCAGAGTTGCTGATCTGTTGGTGGTTCTCCAAACCCTGGCTTTGTCCCTTTCTGTAGACGTATCTTCGGGCTTCAGCTTTGAGACATTTAAGTCTCTGGAGTGCCGACCACAGTGCATCATTATTTGCCACCACAGAAATATCAAATGTGTTAAACTGATAATGGAATTGCAGACAGAGAGATTAAAATGAAGATGACACTTAGGTTTGGAGAAAGGCCTTTGATGGATCAACCTGTGCGGTCAGTGCTTTGAAGTTGTGTTCACTGGCTGGATATTTTGGTCTCTTTTATTATCTGGCGCTCTGTGTTTGTGATTCTCTCGTTACGTTGTGGTCAGTGTGGCATAGATAAGTGAGGAGATTTCACTTTCACTCAGGATGAGGCATCTCGTGAAAGTGCTCTCTTTCTGCTTCAGGCTTATAGTTCACACATGCAGTGCATGTATCCGGGGAAGGAGGGAGGGAGGGAGGGAAGGAGAGTCTAAGCCATCTCTGTTTGTGTACGACTCTTGTACAATGGAAGGATTCTGCAACTAGCCATAGAGCGGTCCTTGGCACAGAGCAGTAAGGGGAGACTGGTTTGTGAATGCTTGCCTACAGCTGCCAGTGTCACTTGAGAAGGGGATTCAGCCACTTCCATTGATGCTTGTGGCATTGCCGGCTGTGGCTAAGTGTGGCTGTGTCCGAATTACATACATACTTAGCAGCTGCTTGAATTAGGCACCACTCTGTGGGAAGCGGCTACAGCCACAACCATAGACTCTTGTGTAATTTCAAATTGCAGACAATTAGGACTCAATCTAGCAAAGGCATCCTCGTGTGTAGTCTGGTGCTGCAGCCCCTTCCTTTCGAAATCTAGATTATCTTAAATGGGAGAGTCTGGGAACCAGCACACTTTTGCTCCTGCTGTTTGCGGCTACGCCCAGCCCAGCCCAGCCCAGCCCAGCTTTCCCCTGCATGACTTGTAAGTTCCCTGACTCTGACCAGCATGTTGCGCCCTCAAGCGATTTGCACACAGCCAATAGCTTTAGCAGCAGGCACTTTTGATGAGAAACTATGGGGAAGAACAATTTGAGACAAAAATTGTAAGAATTTATCCCCGAGCAGGGCTGGGCTTTGTAGGTCGGTCGGCACTGACTGCACAAAATACGATCCCTTTGCAGCCACTGAGCCAGTTCTGCAGGCATTCTTAAGCCAAACAGAAGTCACTAATCCATCCTAAAGTGGGTAATGGAATTCTCACATAAGACGCAAGTAGGACACTGCACAGTCTTTGCTGCTTGATTTCCATTGTCTGTTTTGTCTTTGACAGAGAAACATGCAGATTTTGTGAACTGTTACGCATGCAATACCAGTAGGGATGATTCAAGTTGATTCCAGTTGATCAAGTGATTCAAGTTCAAGACTTTTGCCCAGTGGAGACAAAAGAGTTCAGTCTTGTTGCAACCCAAAACAAAGACAAACCGAATGGCACATGATGGACAAAGAAGAAATGTGAACTTTGCAAACAAATTGAGTGGCTGTTGGCTGTTTTTAGTCTGCTTTCATTGGAAGATGCATGTCTTCATACTGGCGGCCAGTGACCCAGCGTCCAAAGCTACATCTTTGGTTTGTTTGTTTTTTTCTTAAGTGCTTGATAGGGTTTGATGATGAGTTGATGCACTTTCTCCCGCTAACTTCTATCCAGTCACTTTTTAAAAAAAGCCCTTCCCATCAAGAGAATTGAGGCACTTACATTTACCAAGTCAAAAGACATCATTTGCAAGATCTGAATGTCCCTCAAGCGAGCAAATCACTTTGGATGATCATTATTACAACATTCATTGTCATTAATGGTGGCTGTGGGAATGTTCCCAACACGTCTCTTCCGCACTCACTTTGGCTCTGGTATCGGTATATAAATGTACAGTGTAATAAAACCACAAGGAATGACAGAAATTTGTAGATGGACTTGTCTGGTTGAAAGAAGACTATAATTCCTCAAGCAAAATGATCGATTCACTACTCCGTAGTTTGAATGTTGGGCTCAAGAATGCTTTGTTGGATCCGTTTGGGGAATTGAATGTTTACACTGCCCAGGGATAGGTAGAGGGTCTTCACATAAATCATTTGGATTAAGCTGTGGCCATTCTGCCAATGTCACTCATGGCATAAATCCAGATATACCAGGCCACTCCTTACTGCAGCCAACAATGACGATGTTTCATCAAAATTCTTTCCAAATACTGTTACTGCAAACAATTTTAGACTTCCCCCCCTTCCCTGATCAAAACCATGAGGGAATCGTCGTGTTAAGCCCAGGAATGCATGGATGACTGGCAAAGTAGTTTATATGTTAGGGCTGTTGAACATGATTTTATATAACGGTAAATCAAGCTTCTGTTATCATAGTTACATGTACTGATGATGTGCCGTTTGCGTAGCATGGAGACTGTTTATTCAAGTGCATGTTTTTATAACAGAAGTGTACCTGCATATTTAGTTGCTCCCTGAATGCAGCCGGTTCTGTTTGGTATGCATAGCAAGCATTTCAAGAGTTGTCTGGATATCGTGTCTTTACATGTACACGTATGTGCTTTGTGTGCTAAGAAAGTGCCTTGTCACGTGCTGCCCTCAAGACCTACATGTTTATGTGGTTTTGTTTTCTTACTTGCCCCCCCCGTCTTTCCTGGTTGCACTTTAGCCTCAGCTTTTTCCCTCTACCCCGAGTAAGCACAAAACTTTACTTTGAGTTCACATCACATTTCAGCTTATTTTATGACAATGCACAAAATACTTCTGCTAAAATGAAAGTAATATGCACTATAATTGGTGTTGACAAACTACATGAAAATGTAAACACTTGCTGACTTAAAACACAAATTATTGAAGTATGATGGTTTTTTTTCTTTTGATTTACCTGGATTGTCAACAAAAAATGCATGACACGTGCTGACACGTTTGCTGGTTTCAGAGTGGTTTGGTGCATACATGATTGGTGAACCAGCATCCACAAACATAACCGAAACCTTGCATGTCTGTCTTAAATGAAAGTAACGGTATAGTGTTTCGTCGTAATGTTGACTTAGGTGAATAACCAGGGAATTTAAAAGAATTGAAATGTACGGGCACCTGTACATGTACATGTTGAATTTCTCTTAATAGATGTCATCATTGGTCATTGGCCTTGAGAAATGGCTTACTTGAACTCTGAGTGCACATGTTTATGGGTTTTTGGTTGCCAGTCATTGCTTCTGCTTGTAAGCCAACCCTCTCATGTGTATGTCTCTTTCTTAAAAAAAAAATTCCAGAAAGTAAACTTATCAATTCCTCCATGTTTTTTTTCTTCTTCACTCTTCCTTTTACTGCCTGCTTGATGCCTCAGGATGGATTTGCCAAATTCTTTGACGACGACAAAGCAAGGGAGAAGGCGTTAAGCGACACGGTCACCGATATTGTGACGTCCGTGTGCCAATTTGCAGTGGTTGGTGCCGGACTGGCCGCACTCGCTTGCTTGCTGAAGAGATAGGGCACGAGGCCAGGCCCCCTGGCGTGTAGGGAGGGGGGCCAAAGGTCAAGGGTATAGTACTAGTCTGGACATTTGGCACTTGTCTTGTACTCGCAGCTTTCACAGACTTGTGATGTGCTTGATGTGTCGCAGTGGGAATGAGACCAGTTTTCAACGTTTGTCTGCAGAATTTGAATGCAGTTAGAAATGCGTTGCCCAGTGGCATGATCAGATGTACTGCCCAACAAAACAACTGTCGACCAGCACAGCTCATTTTGTTTACACTGTTCACTGTGCATTAAAATGTCAACACTCTTTCAAATTCTAATAATTCCAAGTGATGAACGTACAGTATTGACTGAAGATGTTTACTTTTAAGTTGCCTGTGACCGCAGTGGGCAAACCTTGGAACTAACGATGCACCGTTGGTAAAACTGCCAGGTGCCAGATTGTTGTTCATGTCTTTTTTGCTAAAACCAGGTGTTGAATAAGATGAAATTGAAAGAGAGGCTGAAATTCATGTGGGCATATCCCATTAATAATGCTGTATTCAGCAGCCTAAAATGTGAAAACTTGCTGTCACCAAAGACTGAAGCCTGAGTTTGCAGTATCTGGTAACGTGTACATGTACAGATTCAGTGAACAAATGTGATCCGTCACGACAAAATGAGAGTAAAGTCGCATCCTGCTCTTTCCTATTTTGAGGGTTCAAAATCTTATTGAACTGGAGATCAATTTTGGGGTTTTGTGTCTCGAATACAGTGAAGAGACGGGGAACTAGCCAATCTTTGGGTTTTTGTGACGCCTCACTTTGCCGTCATTGGCTCAGGCATTCAGCCAATGAAATTACACGTAGCTGATCTCCTGTACTTGTACCCTTTACACACCTCACTCTACACACTTGTCGTAGTTGGCACTGCATTGTTTGAGTTTTCTTTTGTTTTGGAAGACTGAACTGTGGTGACCAGTGGTGCGTCCACACAATGTTTTGGGTCCTCCCAGCTGTGGAGCAATAACGATACTGGTACCAATGCTTGTAGCATTCAAGTAGTCACAGGTAGCGTATGTGCAGGCAGCGTACCTGGAGCACATGTGCCTGTAGACTGGTACATATCTCCTACTGATCGTCGGAAGCGCAGCAGTATTCAAAGCTGAATACCGCAGCATGTTGAATGTCCAACTTTCTGGTGTGCTGGTCCCTCTTTGGTTATGCTTTGAGCTATATTTTGTTAATGTTGTTCGCTTGTTTTGGCAAGGGATTATGTTTGAAGACAGTGAAGTTGTATGAACTGTCATTCTTTTGTGAGGATGCTGCATGAACAGAGGAGGTACATGTACATTTCAGTTGTGAAGTGGTCTTTTCTCTTACAAATTTTATTTAATAGTGTTGGAAGTAGCAGTAGACACATTTTTGGTTTGAATTTAAGCTGTGTGATGCGGTGGTCCGCATGCTGCTGTCTGCATTCATACTGCATACATCCTTTCAGAATGTCGCTGAAGATTCATGTTCCAAAGCCATACATGGGTAACCTCTGTTGTCTGGTGTTTTTTGTTGGTGTCCAACTGTTTGATACCAGTAGTCGGCAAGTTGTAGTTAGAATCTTCAACAATAGCTGCTTTCTCAGTGCTGTCACTCTGATAAAACTGGTCATTGCTACAGGCAAAATTTGTATGGAAACACGTTGTTGGAGGTCCATGCAAATGGAGATTTAAAAGAAAGGTTGGCAGATCATTGCAACCAACGTCAGAAAAAATAGGGTTCCGTCTTCGAAACATGGCTCTGGGAGCCATTGTCTTCAGAAAAGATATGAATTTTCAAATTTGATACCCTTACGGAATTCCATCCAGCTTGTACCAGTACATGGACTTTTCTTGAAGGTTACATAAATTTACATTTTTATTTCAGTTGTCGCGTTAGGGCGAGCATGATAAGGAATATATCGTCAAGCAAATTTGATGCATATATATGCTGTACACAAAAAAGATATTAAATAATATCAAATGTACTAAATGTGCGCACATAAAAAAAAGTAACATAGACAAGGATTCCACGTGCACCACAATTCTGCTCATAAGTCATTGTGATGAGCAGTATGCAATGTAAACGCACCACTTTTGAAGTACGGTAGATTTTGTAGCTGTGAGTTTTGCTTAAGCAAAATAGTGCAATAGGCTGTGTCTGAACAACACACAGGGTGCAATACGGACTGCAAACCAGTTATGTCCCACACTGTTTGTTGCTATGGATTGACCAATCAGGATTGAGGATTCAAGTTTGCTTGAAGGTAAATTTGCTTCAATCCTGTTAATGTTTAATAATGACATCAACTTAAGAGGAACTTGAAGGGGAAAGAAGTTGCCAGAAATATGTGCTGGTAAACTAAAAGCTATTTTTGTCTGCATGTTTTTTCAGAACGGCTTTCTGGAGTTCTTTGACAAGAATCGAGTAAGGGCAATGGAAGACGAACTCTTGAGCAATGTCATCGGCACAGCGTTAACGTACGGTGCTGTAGGCGTCGGGCTTGTGGCAGGACTTGCCATGTTTTTTCGGCGGTGAGACTGGCTGGCCACAAATTTAAAGACACTTTGCCCGATTGCCTCACGTTGATGGACAAGAGGAACTGAAGAAAAGTTGTCGTGGGCGGCTGTTGATACCTCCACTTCCGGGTGGGGATACCCTCAGCCTAGTGTTCCGTTGCCAAACTGGAAGAATCGTCATCCGAATGCGTCTTGCCGCAAACGGGACAGAGTGCAGAAGAAAGCTGTATTCTTATACCTTTCTCCCTCCCCCAGCACATTGTAAAGAGTGTAAATACGGTACTTTATGTCATTATGTAGGGTTTGTTAGAGCTGGGAAGATCACATTCATCAACATTGAGTTTCATCAAAAAGTTGAGGAAGGAAATGAAAAAAAAGATTTCAAAATTGCAAGCGGAAAAGATAGGACTCTCATTCATTCATTCAGGGGGTATCATGGAGTGACTTTGAATATCTGTCAAGAGGACAGATCAACAATGTAGGAAAAAAAAGTTTAAATTGTTTATTGCCACCCTGCAGCTGAATTGAGTGTAAAAATATGCCGTGTATGTCCAGTCTGCTGTCAAGCCTTTTGTGAAATCCGGGCCACTATTCAAGCCTCCCCTTCAATAGCATTTCCCAATTCCTTTGGAAACATGACATGTTGACAAGGATCTGATTTCAGGTTCCCCCCATGAAGGCTGAATGGTAAGTCTGTTCGTTACAGCTGTGCGGGGCAAAAAAAAAAGTGGTTCTTTTGTCAATTCACCACACCCACACACTCTGTCCAGAGAATCATGTGCATGTCTGCACAGATTGATATCGCTTTCATCTCATTGGAGAGACAGTGTTCTTTCTGGTGTCCGACCAATTTCTGCGTCGGGGAGAATAATTGTGCAGGAAGTTCGGGAAGTTTCGTATTTCACTTTCAGACATCACCTTGTCTTCACCTTCTCTTGCATGTTGTGGGAGTTAGGCAAAGTCCAATAGGTGTTGAATTACTATCATTGAACCACTTTTTCTAATACTTAGATATTTATGTTACAATTTTCAGGTGTTGTATGAACACAGTGCTATTGTTTTGCACAAAAAGCTCCTCCCCTCACATCAAATATCCCTTGTGCCGGCTTTTTTTTGCTTGAATGTGCCGCTTTGGGAAGTCTGAAACCTGAAGAAACATTGAAAGAAAATCAACATTTCAAAAGAAAGTCTCATATATAAACAGGTTGATATAAAAACAACATTGGACTGTATTGTAACTAAATTGTAGGTGCCAGAAACGGGGAACCCGTTTGTTTTTTTTTCCTCTTGACGTTTAGCGTTACATTTTTCTGCTGAGCATCAATTCTGGGCCCAATTTCATGGCACTGCTTACCGCTAGCGAAATATTGGCGCTTAGCGCAGCAGAAAGTTCTCAACTTCTGTGCTTACAGCGAACATGTTTCATGGGTTAGTGAGGAATTTCAGCTTGTTTGCCTGCGCACATCCCGTAAGTAAGGATTCTGTGCTCAAAGGGATAGCACAGAATTTTTCTGCTAGCCTTGTTAGCACAGAATGGAGATCGTAAGTGCCGAATTCTGTGGTAAGCAGCGCCATGAATTGGGCCCTGGTGAGAGCTTTGTCTATGAACACTTCATAATTTTAAGTTAAAAAAAAAATTGAAGTTAAATTTTAGTCAAAGCGTCGGTTTTATTTCATTTCATGGTGCCATCAGTCACTCGATACTGTTACATCAAACCCCGGAGGGGACCATTGAAATCATGCATGTACTTGTTTGATTCAGGATGGTTAGGGTTAAAGTATCCAGGCGTCTTACAATTGCAGTTGCTTAGATACAAGGGAAACGAAATTTAAAAATGGGTACAGGCTTTTGGCAGGCAAGGTCTAAATGCCTTTGCAGCTCATCTGTGCAGTGGTATGGTTGCATTTGTTCACAGCTAGTCACCTGTGCATTCCAGAAAAGTGTTGCCATGTTTTCCATCATGAGGGGCATGTTCATTGTTCATAAAAACTTCTTTCTCTAACTTAATTAGGCGACAAAAACTACATTGCCACAGTTATTGATAGGAATGTACAAAGCACTGGTCATCTTCAATAGTGAGCAACATCATTCTAAGATTGATTAACCTTCTCAGCAGAATCTGCTACTTCTTGTAAAGTAAGTGGTTAGCAGGTTGTGGCTTGCAAACATTACAGGAATATGTTGTTTTTGAAGTCAGATAAATTACCTCATATGCTTCAACTTCACGCTGGAAACACTCGTGCAATGTTGCAATCATGGGTGAAGTTAATTCTCAGAGTTTAATGAGAGAGAAAGAGAAACAAGAAACAACTTAAAAGACGAATGAATCCACTGAAGGCATTCTTTTCCCTCTTATCTGTGAGGATTGCATTTACATGTACATATTTTCCTCTCAGACTGTGCCTACTACACTTTGCAGAGCAGAGTTTCCATATCTGATCTGATGAGCATGGCCTGAAGTCTGTTCCCATTGGTATAGACTGTGTGGTAGTGTTAAATCCTGTCTATGGTATGGTTATTCCAGGTTATGGTGGTACCTATCAAGGCTATGGCATTCTTGTTCCAGCCCATGATACCGGTATTGTTGTCCCGGTTTTGTGGTGATGCTGGGCCCAACCCATGACATTCTTGTCCAGGTCTTTGTTAGTGTTAACCCAGTCTGTGGTATCTGCCCTTAGCTGGGCCAAGAGAGGGCGCAATTTTCCTAGAAACACAGGCTCCTTTGGTAGGAACTGTACTTCGCTGGTTCACAAAGGACTATATAATGCATGCATTACTGTCGTGTTGCTACTGACAAATGACATTCCCCACCAACATGGCTGTTGTCAACTGATGAGGGGGTGCTTCTGCTCAAGGCGGATCGTTAAATCAATCCATGTCAGTGTGGGAATCAAGTCCTTTTCTGAGTTCAAGGAGTAATTTTGGTGCAAATTTAAGCAGTGTTTCAGTCAGTCCATCACAAGTTCTTTCACAAGTTCTTTGAACAGCAACAAGAAAACACTGCTCCAGTTCATTGGAATACATTGTACATGTAGGACTTGGCTTTGAGACTGGCTGGTTTGTGATGGACTTGCATGGACTGATTATGGACACCACTAGATGCACCAAGGCTGTGTCGGTAGTGTTTCTGATTTAACTACAGTCAAATTTGTATTTGTTGATGCACAACCTGGAATTGTTATTGGAGTACTCGGAGCAAGTGGTCTGTAGAAAGTCTTAGTTCCTACTGTCTTATCCCTTATTTCAGTATGTATTTGCTGGGCTCATAAAAGGATCTGACTGTGGTACCTGGTTGCAGTCTATGGCCCTTTCGGAAATGAGCTTTCACTGCTACGGCTAGGTCTGTCTGCGCATGCTTGTTTCCAATGGAGTGAAGACCTAGACTTAGCTCTAGACAACAGATTTGGATGCAGCCTATGATATTGTAAATCCATTCCAAGGAAGGGTCACCATCAGGCTGTGACCAAAACCAACATTGGTGGTTTTGGCTCTGGCTATTCACCACAGTGTGTCGGCGGCTGAGTATGAATCCATAGCCATAAATACTCAGTTTGGATGCAGTTTACATTTGCACAAACCTGTGAATCATGGAGTTGCGGCTGGTGCCCAGTCTTGTCAGTGTATTCCAGTACAGACAGGATGGTCAAAGCTCCAGTCCCTCATACTTCACTTATTTGAACATATGCAGCAAGGTATGAGACGGAGAGAACCCCCCCTGCTTTGTGCTGGTCATTGTCTCGCAGGAATCTGGGGAA